ATACCAAATAATGGTATGCTTCACTAAGATTGCAAAGTTGGCTAAAGGAAGTATGCAGGATATCAGCTGGCCACCTCCTAGTTTAGTGTTTTGGTCATTGTTTGTAAATGATCGTTTCTGTTTCTAATCATAGCCGTCAAATGACGGATGAAAGCCCAGCACGGATTGCTCGGTGTCGCCAGACAGTGAGCCGAGATCTTTTTCGCACAATCCTACAGCCAAAGGCAAACCCATTCAGTATCCAGTACGATCAATTTACGAATCACTTCCATACGCTTTTTCAAACGAAATGAAGGATATGCCAGAATCATTATATTAAAGGATTCTTCAAAACCCAGGCTCCCTTTATATCTAATAAAAATTACCCATGGCTGTCAGACCAAGGGAAAGGGGAGGTAGCAGATAGAATAACTAATTCTTTTAATCGCCTGGTAGAGACTACAAATTTAGCTTTGAGCACTAAAATTCCCAATTTTCCGGAAGTTATTGCCTCTCGAGTTGATAATCCATATTCATACATGTAAACAAAACCTATGCACATCAAGTTGTCTGGGTTTCATGTTGACAATCATAATAGATGCAATGTCCTAATAAGTAATTAGGCTTCATGTTAACGCTGGTAAATTATGTTGATCTGCTACCAAAGCTCAAGTTGGCCGAAACTCAGCAAGTTATAGGTTATCTACAAACATTCACATTAGCTATATTTAGTGGAAGGCCATTTTATAATGAGATATAATAATTAGTCTGCAAAGTAATCTGACTGACTTTAAAGGAAGCAAGTACTCTATAAACCAATGCTTTGTGAATTGCTAATCAACTTCTGTGGAAGTACTGCCATAAGGATTAAGAGTAAGCACCTCGTGGCGAAGTTGCCCCACTGCCAATTTGATTAGAGCTGTTGCCTCCCGATTTGAGCCTCATCAGGAGGGCTTCACGAGCGGAGATAAAAAATACACGTTCAGCAGCCTCTTCGATTGAACAGACGTGCAATTCCTCTA